TCAGAATTTGCTTTTGCTGTTCCAGGTCACGGTTATTCTCTTGCAATTCTTTTATCTTTTTCTGAGCATTTTTAAACTGCTCTTTCCAATTGGTTGCCTCAAGCTGGGCTTCTCTAGCTATCCTCTCAGCCTCAAGAAAAGTCTGATCAGACTCGCGAGCCTTCTTTTCTAAGAGGGAAATTCTTCCCATCAATTCCGTACCAATGAGGTTAGCCTACAAAAACAACTCATGAAAGTTAGAATTAAAAGAAAGAATTTATTAAAAAATAAAGGGAGAGTACCTTCAATGTACAATGAACTATATCATTCATCAAAGTTAGACAACTGTGACTGTCCATCTTCTTTTTCTCAATATCCCCAATTAAGGGTTCAAGCCAAACATCTGCTCTGCCAGACTTCCTTAAAAGACTGCTATTAGCAGGAACCTCAAGTGTTACACTCCTCATAGCCATGCTTCTGCTACTAGAAGCCTCCTCTACATAATGAGCAGAGGAAGGGGGAACTATAGAAGGAGGAACGGTAGAAGAGGTAAAAATAGTAGTAGTCGAAGGAGTCGAGGCAGGTAAGAGAGCAGAAATTGACAAAGAGGCAGGAACAAACAAAGTGGGTAAGGAAACACTTGAAATTAGAGGAGGAACAGAAAGAACAGGAACGGAAGATGAAAGAGGAATTTCATCTAAAACCGGACCTAATTCACCACTTTCGAAGCCCTCAATAAAGAGGCGATGAGTGGATTCAGGGGTGTCCCTTGGAATGGTTTCTTCATCAGAGGTAATAGTAACGGATTCGGAGGTACGAGCGGGAGAGATTTTAGTTTCATCCTCAGAAACAATGCGCCTCCTGGTTCTAGGACGAGCTGTCAAAGAGGTATCTTCATCTTCATCAAAGTCAGAATCCTCTTCAACCACTTTCCTCTTTGACAGCGTGGCTTGTGTTCTTTCCAAAGCAAGAGGAGTACTGAAAGAAGCTCGAAGGGTGATAGCTACTTCAGCTGACATCCCTCGAATAGCAAATCCTGACAATAAGAAGGATAAAAAGTTAAAAGAGGGGAAAAGAATTTAACACACGAGAAGCAAAAAGGGATGTATACCGTGAGTTTTCACTTTCCAACCATGATTGTTGGAAATAGATTTCCAAGTTCGTGCCTCCATAGGCACGGCTTTCAAGACAGCATCTACCCAACCACGAAAATTAGGAACGGGTTTCACATCTCCCATGGTTGCTACAAAAAAGCAAAGGAATAATAATAAAATTAGAAGAGAAGTTGAAATAACGAAAGCAAATACGGAAAGGAAGAAAATACTTACGTGCAAAGTTCCATTTCTCAGGAAAAGGAATATTTGATTCACCCACCAAATCAATTGTGGGAACAGCAACAAACCGGGTGTACCAGCCACGGTCGTTATTATCTTCAGGGTTAACCAAAACCCTCTTACTTCTTGCAGATAAGGTAAAAACACCATTGCGGAATAGCTTGGGGTGATAAAGATGAATTAGATGAGGGAAAGTAAAGTCAACATCAGCTTTGGTTGACATATACCTCAAACAAGCTACTGCTCTCCATACGAGGGGACCAACTTGAGCTAAACAAATTTTGAAAAAATGACAGAAATCAAGTATGACTGGGTCAATAGCAGGAATAAATCCCAAAGTAAAGGGATAAGTGTAAACGAAAGAAAAGTCAACCCTATAAGAAGATATTCTTTGGTGTGGGGTAGGAATAACTATGTTGGTGTCAATCTCTCCAACGACAGTCTCTTCGAACAATTTGAATCAAAGGTTCAGTAATTAAAGAGGGATATTTATCAGCTCTCTCTAATTTAATCACTTGGTCACGAAGGGATTCTTTGTCATGTTCGAAAGATAAATCCGTTGGCATAATTTCTTCAACCAGAGGCTCTTGGCTAGACTCAAAAGGTTCTTTGCCCTTAGAAGTGGATCTGTTAGAAAGAGAGCCTCTAGAGATATTGCCAGAACTAGAAGAAGGAGTGATGGAACCAGAGGTACCACCACGAACGGACCCTGTACCACGAAGCACACCTCCTCCACCTCTTCTATGTCTAGCAAGAGCATTGGGGAAACTATCAAGAATTGGGACTCTTTTAGGGTTAGGATTCGAAGACGACATAGTGAGAAGATATGAACAGAAGGTATGAACTGAAGAAGAAGTGAACGAGAGTAAATAGCAAGAAATTTGGTAAAAAGCTTGTGAAGAAGAAGACAAAGGAAAAAGGGGGCAAATTTACATATAAACTCAACCGTCGATAATTAAGAAGTGTAATGATGGAAAGCCTATAATAAAGGCAACTATCACTTCGTGAATAGCGGAGTTAAAGAAGCCTTAGAAAAAGGCTGCAAAATCGCAGAACTAATGAGAATGTGACACGTATATGGTGCATTAAATAGAAGAGCCAATTGAAGCGTCGACACTGTCATAGCATTGATTATGGCAAAAATTCCCTTTTTAATGAAGATCCACTTTCCAAAATTTAATTGATAAATAAATAAAAAGTGGGGGGACTATCTGTATTGGGAAAAAACTGAATTTATAATTGAAGGTGACGTGGCATGACACGTGGACTGGTCAAATGGTCAAAACACGATGATCAGTTAAGAGGCACGGGCAATATCAGATACGAGGAGAAGAAAGTTAAATAGGCACGAGATGATATTCAAATGATACGAGTCTCGTATCTATTTAACTTAATTAAAGTCAGGAGGTCAGAGGAATTGAAGATATGAATCTGATGGCATAAAGGAGTCTAAATTCAGTATTAAATGTCAAATACGTTAGCGAATCAGTATTGAATAGGAATGATTGTGTAACGTTTCATTTAATGTCATTTACTGCTCATAATTGCCTCTTTAAGGCTAAGGAATTATATCTTTTCCTAGAAAAATCAACTATAAAAGGAGGAGGTCTCAACATTTGTAAGGACACGAAATATCATTGAGATTACATTGAAATACAAACTTATTTACTGCTTTATTATCCTCAAAAATTTCTTATTCTTTCCGTCTCCTGATTATCAGTAACCCGATTTTTCCTCTTAATTTCTAGTTTTAACCGGAATTCTATTTTTTGGTTAAACAAAATTCAAAACCAAAACCAAATCAAACCTAAAAAGTATCATTTTTTTTGTCGATTTGGTTCGGTTTTCGGTTTGGTTCGATTTTTCGGGTTTTATGAACACCCCTAGCTGAAGCATCTCATAATCTTTAAAACCAATGAGAAGTATGAGATTTTATAGTAAGTATGAAAAATTCCAGCCAAAAGATAAAAAGAAGAAATAAAAATAACAAAATAAAAGTGAGAAAAATTAAGCGGGGCGGGGCAGGGTGGGTGGGCGCGGGTGAGTGCGGAGCGGGTGTACGCGGGTGCAAATAGTATGCTAGGCGGGACGAGTTAAAATTTTGTGGGTTAAGACAAAACCCGCCTCGCTCCCCACCGCTTGCCATCCCTATCTAAGTTGATTGTTGATTAGCACATATCTCTTTCAGCTAAAAATTTGTGTGATTCCTATAGTTCTTATTCTAAGGTCCACATAATCTTCACGGAAACTCTGAAATTAAGCATTATTTTGATATTCATTTAATGTTATACTATGCTAATTGCCGAGGGTCTATTAGAAATAGTTTTTATGCCCTTCCAAAATAGGGTGGTACGTCTGTGTGTATCCTACCCTTCCCAAATTTTATTTGCGGGAGTACGCTAATTGATGATTGTTGTTGTTGTTATTGTCATGTTAATTCACTTCCATTGGTGCTATAGGTATCATGTTCCAAATATTTCCTCTACGTTCGTATGGGTTTGAAAACTCTTCGGGCTTGCTTTAGTTACTCAAATTAGTCCCGATAATACATAGAAGGAACTAAGTGAGCTAAGCTCACCTATAAAAAAAATATTGAAGAATTAACCTAAATATCCGTCCACCCACCCACTTCTAACTAAAAATAGGAGGTACATGTATAATATATGTATATAACCGCATATAATTTATATATTCCGGCTAAAAAAGGTAAACAGTAAATACACCTAGTTATTTATGGAAGATCCAAAACTTTTTTTTTACATAAATAAAGTCCAAAGTTTCTTGGGAAAACGATACTGTATAGCCGCTATCAAAATAATAGCCATTTTTTTGTAATATATATATATATATATATATATATATATATATATATATATATATATATATATATATATATATATATATATATTGTATATCAACATACAAAAATTATATAATTTTTACATCTTTTCCGCCTACCGAAGGTAAATAATTTCTGGCGCAGGCTAAAAGTGAAAAAGCCCAAGTTTCTTAAAGCCCAAAAACGAGAATGGTGGTCCTAAGGGGGAGAATTAAAAAAGAGCCAGATTTTTAAGTGGTCGTTCAAAAATAGCCCAGTTTTAAAAGTAATCAAAATTTAGCCACTTTTCATGTAAAGATAAATCTGAACGAAAATACTGTTCAAAACCCGGAAAATACGCCAGTATATTATGCTGGAGTTCCAGCAAAAGTATACTTGAACTCCAACATATTATACTGGAGTTCCAGGATAAGTATGCTGGAACTCCAGCATAATATGACGGAGTTCCAGCATAAGTATAGTAGAACTCCAGCATAATATACTGGAGTTCCAGCAAGTATACCGGTCCAGTATAATATGCTGGAAGTTCATACACAAGTGCTCGAATCTCTAGCATATTATGCTGGAACTTTCCGTGTGTTGGAGTTCCAGCATAATATGCTGAAAGTTCATACATAGGTGCACCGAAGTATATTATGCTGGACCGGTCTCTGGTGCAGCAAAATAGTGGCTATTTCTTATTGACTTTGTAAACGCTAGCTATTTTTGAATGACCAGTTCGAAAACTGGCTAGACCGTGCTATTTTTACGGTCCTAAGGTTGTAGCTAAAAGAAAGCCCATATTCAAGGCCCAATCAATAATAGCAATGAAGATATTTTATTACTATACTTCCGGTCTCTGCTTCACTCATTTTACCTGGTTGACATTACGAGGATTACACACACACACACACAGTGAGCCCAGTACCACCACCACACCTAAAACCCTAGCACTATCTCTCCCACATTCTTCTTCTATATAAAGCTGAATTTTTCCCTCTCCATCTCACCCCCAGTATTTAGGGTTTTAGCAGTAGCTGAAAAAATGGAGCTGTGTACACCTCAAAACTTCTCGAACCTTCCCAATCACAGGCTTATCAATCCCAACCACGCTCATTTTCAGTGGAAACCCACTCTTCTTCTCAAAAAGCCCTCAATATCTCGCTTCAACCAAGGTATAATTTCTTAAGTTGTTTTAAATCTAAATAATTTTTTGTTGCTTGCTGTTCAAATGCTAATGAGAAGTTGAGAACCGTCCAATTTCTGATTCACTGTTTATATAAATTGGGTGTAAGGTTGAATTTTTCATTTCTAAACAATAGTTTTATTGAGTTGTAATTTACAGGGGATATATGTTAGTTGAGAATATATTTTAGTTGTTATCACTTTGAATGTAGCTTTCTAGTAGTGGTTTAGCCTTTTAGGGATCTATACGTTTGGAAAATATGAAGAACTTCTGATACTTTTTATTTGTAATTGCATAATATTGATATGAGAGGATTTAAATTGAGTAACATGGACACACGACTATACATATAGCTGACCCCTAGTTGTTTGGGTCTTAGGCGTAGTAGTAGTTGTTATTGTAAGTTCTAATTTAAGATTACATAGTTAATATTTGCACACGTCTGTTTTCCTTTTTTTGTATGGTTACTATGGTTAATGGGCTCATAAGTGTTTTCAAGTTGGGTATCTGTTCTCTGGGTTAATGACAGCACTGTGCAAAAAATAATCCTTTGGTAAGAGCTTGCTTCAGTCAGATTTGTTCGTTCTTAGAGGCTGCTATGTTTATGTAATTTGTCTGCAAGCTCCAATAGCGACTTTATCAAAGTAAAATATAGTATTTGGCATTGTTTTTCTTGACTTGTTCTACTCAGGGGGCAATATAGAGTGTAGCGTATGGGCTCGGATGCGAACCCAGTTGCTTTGGCTGATGACCCAAACCTTCCAAAAAATAAGAGCAAATTTTAAGATCCAAACTCAATTATAAGAAATTGATGTCGCTGTCCTAGAATCCCAAACCCATAAAATTCAGACTTTGCCTCTTGTTTGATTGAATAATCGAGGTGGAAGAGTGACTGTTTGCCATATTATGGTCTTGTGTTTATATTTCAGGATTGCTTTACCGGACGGGTTCAGCTATTAGATCAGCATCAGAGGAATCGTCAAGTTTTACAAGCCCTTATGAGTTATATGTACCTCCTAAGGTTGAAAGTAAAGATAACGGGGCTGTTCAGAGTGAAGCACCAATTCAAGATTCTGAGAAAGACAAAGAGACTGATGCTTATGCGTCTTTGATATACGAACCTCCCAAAGTTGAAGAAGTTGAAGAGAAAGGTGATGGAGTTGTTCAAGCTGAATCAACAATAGAAGATTCTCCTCTGGACTTTGATTCGCAACTGCCCAAGTTATTTGATAAGCTAAATATTAAGGTATGTTCCATTCTCTTGGAGTTTGCTGTCTCATTAGAAGTTTGCTGAAATCACAATTTGCTGTGTATTGGCTCTTTGACTAATCACTTCGATTTTTCCCTCTTTTGATTATTGATCTCCTTATTACTAAAAAGTAGACAGCTATGACGATACTCAGAACTTGTTGAAAGTTTTGATACTTGATGAACCATCAACAGTAATGTTGAATCCTGAGCGGTTAACTGATCAGTCGTATCTTAATCACTTCTTCTAGTCTTTATTTTCAAAAGTTTGTGAAATACACGTTCAATTGCAGGACATGTTTCATCAAAATATAAATGGTTTCTATTGGATACAAATAATTTTGCTGTTTAATAAAATTCCAGTGGAGAATAACTGTATTGGTCAAAATTTGGACGACTTAATAACTGCAAATGAACATGGTCGAGGATTAAGCCGACCATGGCACAATGGCGAGGAGTCGTCTTAAGAAGGATTAGTGCCGAGGTCAAGTAAAAATTGTACGGAAGCAACGATAGAATAAGTTTAGAATAAAAAGAAGGAATATTCCATTGGATATTCTTTCTGCTTTACTTTTTAGGGTTTCTTAGTAATTTCCCCTATAAATAGGAAGAGATAAAGAAAAAAGAGGGGGATCTTCATTTTTCTGATAAGAACACATTGTAAATGGTTGACTACGAGGAATATACAAAAGCTTGTCTTGTCCACTGATTACATTGTTCGATATACGCTTTTCATTCACAAGATCGAAGATTCCTTGTCCATCTCCATTTTCTATTACTCCACATCCTTGTCAGGAAGTAGAATCATCCAAGTCATCTAATATTTGGGTGATAAATTCCTCCTTATTACATTTATTGCCATTATCCACATTTATTGCATGCTTTTATTGCTACATTCATTGACATTCATTGAGCATTTGTGTTAGGTATACAACATTTTCGGAATCAGCCCTACATCATTAATACATCTAAACGTTAGATCTAGTGGTTATTATATTTAACTAGGATTCACCCCTCTATTTTCTCATTAATTCGTTTTAAGAAAAGGTTTAGCACTTCTTTGGTAAAACAACCAGTTCCCTTACAAACATGATATGACCATTTTCCTGTGAGGATCATCTTGCAAAATTTCTTTTTATTTTTTCTACTTTTTACTAAATTATTCTCAATAGAGGTAATGTTTAGTGATTCGAAATGGTTGCTGTGATGAATTCAGCTTTTGAAAGTCGTTAGACTTGATGATGCATCGGCAATCATGTCGATTCTGAGCGGTTAACTGAGCAACCTCACTTTCCATGCCATTCTTATAGTATCATACCGTCCTTCTGTTCTCCTCTCAAAATGATTATTCCTCAATATAGAGGTAATATTTAGTGATTAAATCTGGTTGCTGTGATGAATTCAGCTTTTGAAAGTCGCAAGGCTTGAAGATGCATCGGCAATCATGTCGATTCTGAGCGGTTAACTGAGCAACCTCACCTTCCATGCGATTCTTTTAGTATCGTACTGTCCATCTGTCCTCTTCGCTTAATTCTCCCTTTTTCTGTGCTGTTGTTGTGGCTCCTGTGATATGCATATACTAAGTGTGCAATGCTCCTTTTTTCTTTTCTTTATGCAATGTACTTGGTGCATTGGTAATTTGTATTTTTTGGGGGATAAGTAACAACTTTTCTTGTTATCTCGAATTTGTGGTTTTGTGTGTGGCCATCTTAGTGCTTGCTTAGGAGAGGGCGAGAGGCTAACAAAGATTTAGTTTCTTTATCCATTAGAGAAAAAAGATTTTCTTTTCACTGTAGCTGAACTTATCAACATGCGAATGCGACATGTCTTTGGAACTTCTTTGTAGCTTAAATGTAAATATGTTCAAAAGCTACATGTATATGATGCTCATCTTGTAATAACATGGAAAATTTAAAGAAACTAGTCATCTTTGCTGTCATTTCGCTATTTTATTCCGCTGATTAGACATTTTCTTGCCTTGTCTACATACTGAGATTTCCTTCCAAGTGTTAACGCAAAGTTCCTACTTTCCAGTTTGATCCTGAAGATTCCTCTTCACTTATCCTCTTTGGTGGTGCTGCTGTCACTGCTCTTTGGTTGACAACTGCTATTATTGGAGCCATCGATTCTATTCCTTTGGTTCGTACTTTCCTCTCTAAAGATTGACATTTTTGTTATTTTAATATGTTCTGGGCTCTGTTGCTGACAGCTATATGCGTTGTTACTGTATAATTTTTCAGTTTCCTAAATTACTCGAAGTGGTGGGTCTTGGCTACACTGTCTGGTTTAGTACCCGCTATCTACTTTTCAAGGTAATGACTGCACTATTATAACTTGCTCAAGTTGCTGCAGCAAAGCAATCTGTAACAGAACAGTCCCTCAAATTTGAATTTTACCAGTAGTGATTCATCTTTTAGGAATTATCTCGAGAAGTTTTAACTTTGAGTTATTGTTCTGACTGTTTCATATGATATTGTATCTGCAGAAAAATAGGGATGAGCTAGCTGCTAAAATTGAAGAGCTTAAGCAGGAGGTATTAGGGTCGAATTATGATTGATTTACGTCGAAAGAACTTCTGTTCCTTTTAGTTTTGTGCACAAGGGAGCTGTATCTTAGTAGAAGAGATTTATCTCCATAGAAATTGGCTGGCACTCTTTCATGCCAATGTGTGAATAATAGAAATTTTCGTTATATGCTTTTATTTTCTTTGAAAGATCGAACTCATTTCTATGAAATAGTTCAAGTTTTCTACACCAAGAAGTCAGATTCAATTATTCAGAGCCTAGGTCACAGTTGGTTTTCTGATTTGCAATCTTTGGGCAGTTTTACTAATTGGAACGAATTTGTATAGCTGCAAACTTGACTTTCTACTCCTATCTTCCATTCTCTCGTTAAATTCCACCTGGAAAAAAACTTCTTTTGAAAATATTAATTAAGAAGTTTGACACTTGAAATTCGAAATTGTCATTCTTTTTGTGGAGAAGGAAAAGAGAAGAGATTTCTAGCACAAGTTTGTACGAAGAGGAAGCAAGTTGGCAGCACAACTATAATCTATAATCCTCTAACGTGTCCTAGTTTTTGTTTGAAACTTCAAGAAAAGGAAAATGTTCGTTTATAGGCAAAATTAGACGTTTTACATTTGTATATACAGTAGTTGTTAACAATCGTAAATCTATTTGTTTACCTAAATTAGAACTCTTCTTTGTAGTTTGGACTTTGGGTTTGGGACTTTAAAAGATCATCACGAGATAAAATTAGAGAAATTTTCATAAAGCACCATCTTTTAGTAGTAATTAGCCATCTATAGATACCACTTGCTATATTACGGATTATAGATACATTTTCTGTGGTTATAAGATGTATTTGATGTATTTAAGCTATTGTATTCATGAATACAATAGCAAAAATAGGCGTGAATAAGGGAAGTCCAGCTAATCAGTTGTTGTATTCGAGTGTATTCGACTGTATTCATGGAGTGAAACATGGGATTACAGCTGGACAGATTATTGTATTCGACTGTATTCACGGCGTGAAATAGGGGATTACACTGTTTTTAAAACGGAAAGTGAATCAATTAACATAATAGACTCCTAATATAACTCAACAAACTCAATTATAACACACAAAATTTGTATTTTTCAGTTATAAAAAAGATTCTCAACCGCAAAATACCCCAAAAATATAGCAATCTTCAGAGAAATTATATAATACATCTGAATACATAAATTATATTAATTAAAAAAAATATATGAATACATTCATGGCATATAGCGAGACAATGGATACAATGAAATAGATAGAATACAGAGGGATGCATTAAAATACAATGAGAAAAAAAGATACTGAATACAATGAAATACATGGAATACAACGAGATACATTGAATTACAATGAAAAAAAAGGTAGTGAATACAATGAAATACATAGAAATACAGCGAGATACATTGAAATGCTCTTAAAAAAAAGGTAACAGAATCTTCAAATTGCTCAACCCCAAACTTCAGACGACCTATTTTAGTCGACAATTTTCCGACGACCCATCGGATTCCGACCATGATTCCATAAGCAGCGATGAGAGAAAGAAGAAGAAAACGAGAAA